CGCCCCATTTTCGGCCGGGTGATCGGCGGGGCTTCGGGATGATCGCGGGGAAGCACTTCCCCCCGATCATCCCGAAGCTCCTCCGATCAGCTGGCCAAAAATGCGGGCTTCAGGATGATGGGTAGAAAACGCTTCCCACCATCCTCCCGAAGCCCCACCGATCAGCTGGGTGAAAATGGGGCGTTTGCGACGATCGCATGGAAGTGATAATCGCAAACACCCTGTTTTCACACAGCTGATCGGCGGTTCCAGAATGGCCACCGGGTAAATAAAATGGCTGCCTGCAGTGTTTTTGCGCTCTTTCCTCGCTTACCGGGCAGCGAAAATGGCGGCCGGATGGAGGATTTTCGCATAAAGGTGAGTTTTTTCCCCATAGGAACGCATTAAACATGTTTTAATGCGTTCCTATGGGCTTTTTTGCCCCGCATAGTGACAAATCCGTATAGCGATGATTTTTTCGGATCAGATTATCGTCGCTATGCGGGGCACCACTGTATATAGTAATACTGCACACGCACAAAGATGAAAACTTTTAGGGATAGAACATTGGCATCAGTCAAGGGGTTTTTTTGGCAGGTAAAGTGTCTATTTCAGACAACATCAGTGAATATATGGAAGATATGTATTACAGTTATGTGGGTGTGAATTCAGACTGTTGCAATTGCATGTCCAATACTTTTATAAAATCAAATACTCACTTTTAAACTTTTGTTTTTCCAATGCCAGAAAATATGAATGGGTTATAAGCAAGAATAGTGGTGCTTTTACAGATTGTGGCACAAAAGAATATGTGGGAACCTGGGTTTTTGACTGTTTCCTTCAGAATGTGATCCTGCCATGTAGCCTCTCAAAATTCCTTCAAACTGCCTTCACATTCAAAGCTAAGGAATATTAGAACATTCCAAGGAACAACCTGTAGCTGTTAAACTTTGCCAAAAAAATGAGTATCCCCTTGAGTTGTGGCTGTAATATGACACAATGACTTTGTGTAAAGATCTTAGAATGCTAATTTCTAGTTTTTAATAGCAAAGCTTAATTAAACCAACTGTTTAAATAGGTTTTCTAATTGGTTTTTCTGACTATAAAAATACCATATATTATGATGCTTGATATGTTTCTAGTCAAGGTGCAAAAACCTATTTAAGAAATTCAGAATATTTTAACGTAACAACTTCATATTTCAACAGAACTAGAGGATCAAATGGTGATGTTTGATTCTATTAAAGACTGGCGTGAAGAGTTGGCGCGAACCAAAGGAAACCTGAAATTCAAAGCAGTGAGTGCCAATGAAGGCTACAAAATCTCTAAAAAGTATGAATGCATTCTATCCATTTATGTAACCGATATATTTACTAGCATACTAATCTCAAAATCATATATCAAACTGGTTTGTGTTCCTTTGTCATTTATAACTATAAATAGATTTGTTTGACTAGCACTGTTTGGGAACTGATTACCTTAAGATGGTTTCAATTGATGACAGGAAATAATTATTTGGCTGTTTGAGCAGCAGTCTTCAAAAGTATAGTGGTGCCAAAAGGGTTGAATTCCAGGAAGAATGGGTGCGAGATCCAATCTCTTTACAATTCCTCCAGCATTTCAGATGTAGGTTTTTTTAATATAATGTAGTTTCAATGGACTGCAATACCATTGATTTATTAATTTGAAACTGTACTCTCAGGTGTTGGCAGAGATTGATCTGAAAGGTGCCTTTTTCCAGATAGTGTTCTAGGAATCATCAGAGATACACTGACTGAAGTCTGATTCCCATGCTGGTTTGGGGCCAGTCAAGTTTCCATATTAGCAGTTGATTAATATTTTATCAATGTTGGAGGCTAACATCCTCCATGGAACTTAAACTTGAAACAGTTCTTCAATGGTTGTGGTTTTAAAACAGGTAGCCGTGTTAGTCTGTGCTAGCATAACAGGCAAAAACAAAAGAAATTAGAAAAAATAAAGACAAAAACATTGTGGTACCTTTAAAACTGCCATATTTTAATGTGAGTTTTCATGGACAAAGAATGAGGAAGTAGACTTGTCAGTGAAAGTTCACATTAAAATACAGTGGTATCTCGATAGACGATGACCCTTCTGTACAACAAATCCTCAGGATAAAGTTCACATTAAAATACAGTGGTATCTCAATAGACGATGACCCTTCTGTACAAAAAATCCGCAGGATGGTGACTTTTTTGCGATCGCTATAGCGATCGCAAAACAATGTTTCCAATGGGGGATTTTCGCTGGACGTCGATTAGGTCCGTGCTTCGCGAACCATTTCTTCACAAGACGACAATGTTTTCCGGCTCCGTAAAATGGCTGCCCTGTGTTTTCCGGACCCATGCTTCGCAGGGTAGCCATTTTAACAGCTGATCGGCACTCAGAAAATGGCTTCCCCATGGGCAATCTTCGCTGGACGATGAGGTAATTTCTCCATCTGGATGATGTTTTTGTTTAACAGCTATTTCAGGGGAACGGATTATTGTCGTGGTGCGGGGCACCACTGTATAGCAGATAGTCTTTAAGGTGCTACTACGTTTTTGTCTCCATTTTTTCTAATTCTTCAGTGAATAAGTAGTCTTTTTTTACACAGGGAATGGAGGCAAAATGACCTGGAACAGCTGAAATGAAGACATTCCTCCCTCTTTAGAATGTTCTTTAAGCTGTAAATCTGTTTTTGATTTCTGATGCTGTACATATCATGTAGGTAGTACAGGCTGCAGCTTTGTCTAAATCTAAATTACCACCATTTGTTGTCATGGAAGAAATATGGGTTACATTAAAAAGGGACAGTGGAGGAATAGCCAGTACATTTTTTGCCAGTGATACCAGACCTTAACAGTTTGTTTAAAGAAGGGATAACCCATGTTATTCATCAGTTTCTTTGTGTAAGGAATTAATGGGAAATCTCGTAATCTTGTCCAGATTACTATTGTACATTTCTAATGGTAACCATATACAGACCTCTAAGAGGTTGATGATTCTGAAGACTTGATTAATTTGGAAGACAGCGTAGTAACAGTTTAGATTAGGGATACTGTGATCTCATTCTGATTAAATTTGGATGCTGTAGCTGATGAGTAGTATGATTTCCTACCATTATGAATAAAATCTAAAATAAGCTCTTGCTCCTTTAATAAATATTCACTTACCTCCCAGTGAAATTATGTGAAAGAAATAATACAACCTTGGAAAGATAGCTATTTGCACAGTTGGTATTTTACGAAAACTAGGTATTTAAGTTTATTCTTTATGCTAGCTGTTACTTGTTTTTTGGAAAAGGGATTTATATTTTCATTGTTTCGTTCTGTCGAAGTGTGCTAGGATTTTCACTCCTAGATAGCAAAAGTGAAATCTTAAGCAAGAAAAATCAGTAGGTATTTGAAGGGCTTTTGTATATTATGAATGTTGTCACAAAGTTCAGTGATTTTCTTTAAATTGGACTCAGGCCCAACCAAGGCACACATAAAAAGGGTAAATATTCATCACTTTATATTCATCAGGGCCTCCAGAATTGACAAATACAAAGTGATTAATTGTGAGTGGGTTGATCAACGGGAATAAATAGAAGTGATTCTGGTAATCTGGATACTAATTCCACAATTATCAATTTGGGTTGTGTGCGGGGCATTGTGTTTTTTACCTTTATTTGCTTCCATGCTTTTTTGGGGTGGGGGTGTTTTATTTTCCCTCCCCCTCCCCCTGTGTATATGGGAATATTTTTGATGTTCGATATTTCAGGGGAACGGATTAGATCCCCACGTGGCCCCTGCTTATTTCACCAAACTAGGAGCTCACGCTACATGCCCCTCAGCTGCCACCAGTTGATTTCATCAACAATACCTCTTATTAATACTAGAGGTCCAGGCCATGTGTCATTTTAAAAGAACCAAATAGAAATTGTTTATTGTTACAGATGTAGATACTTCAAGCAGTGTTGTTAACTCTTAACAAACATCCTCCTTCATCCACTCTCAACCATCACTTTCCTGCCCAAACTCCAAAACTTTCTCTCAACTCTCTCTCAAAACTCCCTATCTCTCTATCTCCTCACTCTAACTCCCCCTCCTCCTGCTGAGTCTCTTAAATCTCATGACTCCACCAATCCAGAACTCCCATTGTTCTATGCATATGGCATATGAATATTCATGACCAGGCGGACACCACAGTTGTTATTTCTTTATTTACTAATTGCCTCCCCTGCCCCTGCTTTTTGAAATACAGTGGTGCCTCGCTTGACGAGGATAATTCGTTCAGTTCAAATCACTGTTAAGGGAAATCCTCCCCAAGATAATTCATTCAGTTCAAATCACTGTTAAAGGAAATCCTCACCAGGCATAATGAAAAAGCCCATTGAAATGCATTGAAAACCAGTTCAATGCGTTCCAATGGGCAAAATAGGCAGTTCAATGCGTTCCAATGGGCGAAATAGGTCAGCGTCCAACGAAGATCCTCCATAAGGTGGCCATTTTCCGGTGCCTGTAATGTGAGGAATCTGTCCTAAAGCACAGTGGGGAGCCATTTTGCACAGCGGGCAGCCATTTTGAAACCCGATAATCAGCTGTTTTTGATCGTCGTTAAGCGAAAAATTGGTTCCCGAAGCAGGGAACCGATCAACGTTGAGCCAAAAAAGCCAATTCAGTCATCGTTTAGCGATTGCAATAGCGATTGCAAAAAACTAATCGTCAAGCGATTTCCTCGTCTAATGAGGTAATCGTCAAGCGAGGCACCACTGTAGAATTTAAAGTTTCTTTTGAACTGATACTCCTTATTAAATAAGAATTTAATTGTAATAATGGTTATGGCAGCAAGGTTAATATTTTCAAGATATTGGAAATATCATAACCAAATTAAGTTAGAGGAATGGTATGGACATCTATGGGATGTGGCAATTAATGATAAATTGACATGTGATATGAAAATAAGAAGAGGTTTATCGAAAAATAATGAATTTAAGAAAATATGGAGTGTTTTCCTGGAATATTTATTTCGGAGAACGAAGGGATATATGCTGAGGGAAGAAACAATGAATTTTTGAGAGAAAATGGATTGAATGAATTTTAAAAATATTATTAATGCTAGCCCTGAGGGTGACGGAGGTACTAGTGTATTATGTAATTGTATTTTATTGTGGTGTTAGGTTTATGTTTAGGTTGGATGCATTCAGAAATCACCACATTGAATCATTTGACTGCCTGGGATGAAATCAACTTGGTCTTTACTTATTTATTGAATTGTAAATTTATTTAGCCTAGTAACCATAATAGAAATCAATAACGTGGTACAGTGGCGCCTTGCTTAATGGGCGCCCCGTTTAACGACGAATCCGCATAGCGATATGGATTTTGTGATCGCTCTTGCGATCGCATTGCGATCTTCCCTATGGGGAAAATCGCTTTGCGATTTTTCCCCATACGCCCCATTTTCACGCAGCTGATTGGTGGGGCTTTGGGATGATGGGGGAGCACTTCCCCCCATCATCCCGAATCCCTGCCGATCAGCTGGGCGAAAATGCCGGCAGGGGCTTTGGTCCTCCCAAAGGCCCCATTTTCCCCAGCTGATCGGCAGCGGCTTTGGAAGGACCGCGGGGGAGCCCTCCCCTACGGTTCTCCCAAAGCCCCCGCCAGCATTTTCGCCCCGCCGATCAGCTGGGTGAAAATGCTGGTGGGGGCTTTGGGAGGACGGGGGAAGTGCTCCCCCACGATCCTCCCAAAGGCCCCATTTTCCCCAGCTGATCGGCAGCGGCTTTGGAAGGACCGCGGGGGAGCCCTCCCCTACGGTTCTCCCAAAGCCCCCGCCAGCATTTTCGCCCCGCCGATCAGCTGGGTGAAAATGCTGGTGGGGGCTTTGGGAGGACGGGGGAAGTGCTCCCCCACGATCCTCCCAAAGGCCCCATTTTCCCCAGCTGATCGGCAGCGGCTTTGGAAGGACCGCGGGGGAGCCCTCCCCTACGGTTCTCCCAAAGCCCCCGCCAGCATTTTCGCCCCGCCGATCAGCTGGGTGAAAATGCTGGTGGGGGCTTTGGGAGGACGGGGGAAGTGCTCCCCCACGATCCTCCCAAAGGCCCCATTTTCGCACAGCTGATCAGCAGTTCCAAAATGGCTGCCCGCTGTGTTGCCTCGCTTTAGAGGCACCGAAAATGGCCGCCCCTATGGAGGATTTTTGCATAAGGTGAGTTTTTAAGCCCATAATGCATTCCTATGGGAATTTTAATGCATTCCTATGGGATTTGTTATTTCGCATAGCGACGAATCCGGATAGCGACGATTTTTCTGGAACGGATTATCGTCGCTATGCGGGTCACCACTGTATCTTGATTTATGAGAAAAGTGCAATCTCATTGGCTCCACTTTATTTAGTTTCAACTGCAAAATAAATTGTGATTTATTCTATATTTCTGATATTTATGCTTTTTGCTAAATCTAATTAAAGGATATAGTCACATGTGACACCCAGTGTTTCTTCAGATTTTTTTTAAAATTACCCATGGAAAACCATCAAAGTTTGAGGGTTTTTTTTTCAAATTGTGCTAAGAATGTATTCCTGTGTTATAGTCACATTTAAGATGTCACTGAGATCATTTAGCTGTTAGTGGAATTTTCTCCAAATAATCTTTGATACCATTTGAAGATGGATTTTCTCTTTTATATAAATCTCTTAAATTGGATGCTAGTGCCCTTGAGGTCCCATGTTGGTGTGTTCTGCTCAGAGGAAATAATCGAAACAACATTTTTGGAGTTTTTACAGATTTTTAGGTCTCTTTAATTTGTTTACTATGTTTGACTGTTTCACTATGGGAATTTTGCTGAAAATGAAGTAGTATATAATAGTATTTATACACATATAATTACTGATCTCTGGTTTTTGGATTTTTTTAAATTTATTTTGTTTTTCTGGCTAAAATGTACAGGTATAGAAGCCAGCCTCTCCCAAGAAGTCAGATGAGTAGTGAAGGGAGCATGGTGGCTTGGGTACTGTGCACCTTTAACTCTAAATGGCCTCATACATTGTTATCCAGCCTTTCCCTTGGAATTAGCTTGAGCTAATTTTTCAATGTTTCAGATTGTTTAGAAAGCAGTCCATGTGACGAGAGTGACAGAAAGGCACAAGGATGGGGAAAAGCCTAAAGCATTTCCCTTTCCTCACATTTTTGTTTTACCTATATTCCAGTACACCTGAACAGGACATAATTTACTAAATTACATTTTTCAGGTTACCTGCATACTTTGTTGTTCCCATGGCTGTGTTTGAAGAGAACATCTCACAGTATGAAGGAAGAGGAATTCCAGTAAGTATGTTTGTATGCAAAACTGAATAGATTTATCACCATATATTGAATTGTAAAGAGAATGTGTTAGGAGCTTGCTCTGAATTCTTCAATTGGTAATGTATCATTTGGTTGCAATTTGAGGAGAGAGGTTGGGGCAAGGTGTGAGATAGAACTGAATGTTGGGACACATCTCAGACTTTTTCCTTTGCTTCTGAAACCACAAAGTTGGTATCGGAACCTGGAAAGTATGATGTCTCTGTATTCAGTGACTGCATTCAAAGTTCTTCCATTCACTGGAGAACTAGAAGTGAGTCTAAGAGTTGTTTAGTTCTGTCTTGTTTTGTGATTTGTGCATCTCCCAGGTTTTTTGAAACTAACATTGGAAAACTGCTTCTAACATAACCTAATTCATCTTTGATTAAGAGGGAACCTGTAGCTCTATTTAGGTGTTCTGTAGAATCAATGAGATTCTGCTCATCTCTGCTCTTAGCCTTGTATGATTGTTAAGTAGAGTACCTGAATTGGGACTATGCCTTGTACAGATAAGGAAGTGACATGGGTCTGCATGAGTTAACTACTGTTATATAATTATAGCCATTTTGAAACCTGACGATCAGCTGTTTGCTAATCGTCATAAAGCGAAAAATCAGTTCCCGAAGCAGGGAACCGATCAACGTTAAGCAAAATTCCCCCATCTAAACATCGTTTTGCAATCACAAAACTTCAACGTTAAGCGGATTCGTCATCAAGCAGGGTGATCATCCAGCGGGGCACCACTGTACATTGCTTCTATATTCCATGTGAAGCGATGATGAAATCCAAAATATTGAAAACATGTAACCTTTTGAGAAATTACCAACACATTTCAGTTACACAGAAAATCAGTCTCATAGCTATGGAAAAACTATAGGCACAAATTGTTGTTCTGGGTTTTTTGGGCTCTTTGGCCGTGTTCTGAAAGCAACCTGTACAGGTTGCTGTCCTCTGAAGATGCCGGCCACAGAGACTGGCGAAACGTCAGGAAGAACAACCTTCAGAACATGGCCAAAGAGCCCGAAAAACCCAGAACAACCATTAGATCCCAGCCGTGAAAGCCTTCGCGAATATATTATAGGCACAAATGTTTAAAAATACATGAAAACAGAGTTTAAGTTGCAGTCAAATACTTAACCAAATTTCAATCTAAGAATACCAGGAGCACATATCCTCAAAAAGTATGTCTCTTAAAATATCAAATTCTTAAAAGTAAGAATATATAAAGTAAAATACATTTCTTAGCTTTTAAGCATACTTTAAGGGCACACAGAAAAGTATTAAATAATGTTCTCACCCAGCCAAGCCAGCTGTGTGCTGGTTTGTATCCAAGGAGGAAGATCCATTAGGTCTTTGTTTGTTCCAAGGTGCTGCTATTGTGCTGCTACATGTTGCTGCTCTTTGATGTCTGGTGCTTAGTGTCAGTGTTTTTGGTAACTAGCGTGTCTGCCGTGGCATGTTGCATATTTGTATTTCTGTCTGGCTTCCTGTTATTTATATTTCTCTCAGTTGTTTACATTTCCCTTCAACTGTAAACAACTACATCTTGCCAGTGTAGTCAGGTGCATGTTCATGTAAATGTACATGTAAATGTTCAGAATAGTTTCAATAGAAATCTGTATTGCTTTCACTAGGGTAGCAAATACCACTCTTGTAAAATAAGAGATTAGCAAGTTGTATTTATGACAGATAATAGCCTTTATTTTTATTAACTGCGTCCCTTTCCTGTTTGGGAATATTAAGTTATCTGGATGTCATTTTACTGACGAGGCAAAATGCCATGAGTGTAAAATGCTGATGAACTAAGGTGGTCAGGTACCCACATTTTAGGACTCTAGGAGGTTTTTCGCCCCTCAGTTGTTATGTATTTTCTTCCCAATGCTATTTGTTTACATTCAAGTGTTAAGTCATAATGAAAAAGATTCTTTGTGAGGCAGTGTTATTATACATTGGCCTTGCTTTCAAACTTGGCTGGTTGTTTTACAGCGACTGTTAGTAAACTGCTCTTCAAATCTCGTTTTGAAGCAGAATGTAGATTTTCAGGATTGCTTTCTTACAGTTCCCTTAATTGTTTTAACAGTCTATACATTCAAAATTTGACATGTGTTGAGAAACAGCAGGAATTATGTATTCATTACTTGAAAGTTTGTCTGAATTTTGCGTGGGTTCTATAATGACAATGCTCTACATAACAAGTGTAACTAAAGATTAACTATAAATGCGTTTTGCAGATTTGGTGTTGGTCTTGCCAAAGTGGTGCTGCTGTGCTCAAGATGTCAGCTCTTCCCAAAGAACAAGATGACAACATCGCACAAATGCACAAAAGCTTCTTGGAAGGGTTAGTGCTAGCACTTGAAGTATCTGGTTGGGGTCTTACCAATCTCTGGCTTAAATCTTGTTGTGCAGCTCTGTATGCATGGCAAGAATAACATTATCAGTAGTAGCAAACAGCTGCTGATTAAAGGCTCTCTTTGGTCACCTTGGGGTGCATGTGACTTATTTGCATTGTGTACAAATAATATAGCTCAAGACGGCCAGGTGCCTCCAGGGACAGATTCTGTTCATAAAATACCATCTCTCAACCTTGATGAAAGACTTTCAACTTTAATCCCCAAAATCAATGTCTTGTTCAATACTGAAGAAAAGTCAACAAACCCGGAGACCTCTACATCAGCAAAGTTAAACTGAGTTTAATTCCCCAAGGGCTGGACTCAAGAACCCATAGTCTGCAGTTCTAAGAAGATGGTGATAATAAACAGAACTAAGAAATCTAAAGCAGGGCCACCAATTTCCTTTCCCTCCTATCATCTGTGTTCACTGAAGGATAAAGAGCAGGAGGATTTACTGTATCTTGGTTCTGCCTCTGAGTGCTCTATATGTCTGAAGAAGTGGACTGTAAGCCAGAAAAGCTCATCTGAAATAAATCAATGAGTCTTTAAAGTGCTGCATAGGATATGCTTTTTTGAATTCAAGGACTTCATGTCCCAGAAGTTGCCGAGAATTTCCAGGGCAGATTTCTGGAACTGGGAAATGAGCACCATGCAGAGGAGGGTAGTTCAGTGAGAGGCTGCCATACTCTTGGCATGGTGCACCAGGGCAATTCCCAGCAAGCAGTGGGATTGAGGGGCACTTTTTCTTACTTTCTGGCTAACTCACATAGCATGAAGCACACAATGGCAGTAGAAAGACATCTCTTTTCCCTTTTTTCTCATATCCCAATTCAGAAGTCTGCCTGAGGGGTTCTAGGTGATTTCTAGGGTTGGAAATCCTCGAATTCCCAAAATCCTATACCTGGTGCTACATTCTTTGGTTTATAATCAGGTTCAGAACCCAGTTTAAGCTTTGCTTATTTCAACAAATGGTAGTTGAAAGTTTCTGGTTTAAGATGAAGTGGTAAACAATTATATTAAAAGGGTCTGTTTTCATACTCTTCCTGGTATGTTCCAGAGGAAGGGACAGTGAGTATCTGAGAAGTATGAGAATCTGAGAGTTACTGATGTTTCTTTAAACATTGGTTTAGCCTTGAGTCCAATGCAGACCTATATGTTGACATGTAAAGCAGGGGGCCCCAACCCCCAGTCCGAGGCCCTGTGCCGGTCTGTGGGCTTCGCAGGAGACAGATCTCCCACCCACCCACCCGCACGCATGCATGGTGGGTGTGGTGTGCTTGTGCGGGTGAGAGGCACGTTTGTGGATGGGTGTGGCACATTTGCGGGCACACGCCCCCCACTCACCCACCAGCGCGCCATGCCCATCCACGCAAGCATGTCATGCCCGTTTGAGAGTGTGCCATGCCCATCTGGGAGTGCAGGGAGGAACTCCCCCATGCACAGACCCTGCCCCCCCAACCGTTCCGCTGTTCTGAAAAAGTTGGGGACCACTGATGTAAAGGACATGACTGCAGTCTTACCATATCTTGCGGAGTGCAGGCGGCATACAAGTCGAATGGATGAAACAAATATTTAATTTTTTAAAAGTTCCTAGTAAACACTTCCAGATAAAGTAATAATGTTTACCTTTTGTTTAGAATGTATAAAACAATAGATAAACCTCCTTATGAAGCCATGAAAATTGAAGACCTTTCGAGCAGTCTTCCATCTCTACAAGAAATCCAAGTTTCATATACTAGATTTAAGCAACTATTTTTCATAGGTGAGTAAAAGTGAGAAGATTGTGTGTTTTATACAGATACCCAGAGACTGGAAAGAATACTTTTTTTCTTGCAACTCCTAAAATAGCCAATGATTGTATCATTATCTCTGCGGATACCTGCATGACTGAAAATGTGCTCATAGAGATTTCAAATTTGTTAGTTGATCTTTATACATCTATTTTATTTATATATTTATTTGAAATTTATAGCCCAGCCTTTACAATTTTTTCTTATTTGTTTTTTGTGTTCAACATTTATTTTCCAGTTTCTGTCTTATGGCGTACATCTATCATCATACATCACTGCTTATGTAGATGACTTGCTGCTCTACACTACTGTTTGACCGTGCCTCTAGATTTTTTCCATATACAGAGCACCAGTTTCTTAGCATATATTTTTTTTCCAGATAACAGTGCAGACTTCTGGGATACTGATGTAAAGTGGTTTTCATTAGTGGAAAGTACAAACTGGCTGGAAATCATAAGGTCAGAAATGTTCCAACTTCATAAACTTGTAGGTACATCTGTGAAAGTTTGTGCTGCATTTAGGGTCTTTTGATAATATAAGGGCTCTTTTGACTATACAACAAAGATAAGTCCTGGTACTAAAACCTTTATTTTTCCATGCTCCAGAAAATGCCTGCGAAAAGCAGTAGATGTTGTTGAGTCATTAGAAGCACAGAATACAAATGTTCTCCTTATAGGTAAGTCAAAGGGTATGCCTTTCTCTTTATGCCCTTCTCCCAGCCTATTTCCAACTCTTCATTTTTTAAAAAAAGTTGATTCGTGAATTGCATTCTGTGTTCAGAATTTTCCTGAAACCATTTTTCTTTAAAGTTCTACAATTTCAAGGCAGCTTTCCTACTGTTACATTTGCTTTCATATTTGATATTCGACGTGTGTAGGCTTGACCCTGGGGGGGGGAGTATTCAGTAAAGGAGAGAAAAATAGTTCAAGATATACAGATTAATCAAACTGACATTGTATTGAAGATCATAAAACTAAAGTTTTAGAATTTTACTCTTTAATATAATTGGGTCATGGTCCAATGAAAGTACAGTGCTTAAGTTCCTTTAATTATAATGCTAACTTCTTTTTTGTGGAAGTGAATTTTTTTTAAATGGTCTTTGGATAATTTCCTCATTTGCAGTTCTTCGCATGAAATTGTATAATATGAAGTTGTGATGTAGGTGCTTGATCATTAATTTTCAATAAATAGTTTAAATCATTCATCCCATAGAAAGCAGCACATATAATCCTTTTAAGAGGGAGATGAAAAATTGATTTGCCAGATTGTTCCCTTGAATTCACAGCTCCTTGTTTATGTACTTACCCAATTTGCATTTCATTTTTATTTTTTCTGAATTGTGCAGCTGTTGCTGCTATTGGAGGGCTATGTATAATTCCTTTAATTATCCCAGAATAGGTGGATTCTAAGGTTTTTCTTAAGCAGAATTCACAAAGATATGCAAGTGATTTCTGCAAGAGAGTACATCATGTACCTCCAATGATGCATTTAGGATCAGGTTTTACAACATGGAGAATAACCAAATCATGTCTATATTTGGCAGTCTTTCTGGACGATGGTTCAGGTATAAGTTGGATGTTAAATTTTCCTGATTATGTAGACATATTCCCCATGGTGTGTTTACCTGGATGTTGTAATCATTAAAAAAATCACCAGGACTTTGCTTTAACAGTTGGATATTTCCTCACTTGCTGAACCTTTTTTTTCTCATTTTAGAAAGATAGTTTATAAATCATTAGGCTTCTCTAACAACTATACAAAGATGGAGAGAACAAGCCTTACCTGGAAGCTTCTTATGTAATAGATGTTATATTGCCAGGCAGGGAAAAGAGGGGGGGAAAGTAAATTCGGACCCCAAATAATTCATTGCATAAGAACTTTCTGGCTAGATGTAATAGACACTGAAATATGTAGTTCTGTGAGAGGAACAGCACAGTTCAAGTCAGCCCAGCTCAAGACAACATAGTAAGTGGGGTTTTATTTTACCTCCTCTCCCATCTTTTCAGTCAGGTAGTTGGTACTGAGGAAAGACTGAAGAAGAAAAAAATGAAGAATGTTAAATTTTAAGTTTAATACAGCATATGAAAGGTATTAGCCAGTATTCTACTACTTGCGAATGCTGGGATAAGTGCAGTGGGACAAGTCACAGTAGCTAATTAAATTCATTACTTAAAAAAAAATCCTTGCCATTATTTCTTTTCTAGCAAATGTAGAATTTTAGATACAGTAAACTATAACCAGAATCCTACTACTTAGGCATGTTAGCAGAAATGCAGCAGTGTAAGTCATAAAGACAAATGGCCACTAATTATGGAGACACCACTTCATAGCAAGCCATGTCCTGCTAATGGGATGTGATGAGAAATACTCGTGGCAACTCTTTTTGACTAGAGGCAGTTTTTTCTTTTTCTCTGTGAGAACTCCTGTTACATACAGCACTGATGGTACCTGTCTGTCATGGGTTTGGAGGGAAAGTTCCATCCTATGGGGAGTGGAAGGCGGGACATCAGGGGGGAGGAGCTGTACTGTATATATATGTGGAGCTTGTGTGGAGAAGTTTAGAAGCTAGAGTTGGAGTCTGTGTGTCAGACTGAGTACAACTGTGTGTCAGTTAGTACCTACCTGATAGGTTCAGGTTTCTATATGGGTAGCCAGAACTGATAGGTTCAGGGTCTGTGCT